CCTCCTGACTCATCTTCCACAACAAAGAGTGTTGAAAGGTTACATGTAGGCTTCTCCTGCTTGAAACACAAGGTAATTGCTTTCCTTGGCAGTACACCTGAAGAGGCACAACTAATGCTCATGAATGTTTGGATGTGGACAGTGTTGCCAAAACATGAGGACACATGATCTGCCACATCCACTCGGCCTCTCAGCCCAGCTGCAGCTTGTGCCAAAATAGCCCCAAAACTGGAAGGAAGGGAATAGAGAGGGTAATTAAATCTATTAGTCCGAGAGATGGAGGAGGAGAAGGCAAACAAGGCATCCTGCAAAGCTGTCCCATTTCCTGGCATTCCCAAATGCCCCTGCTCTTGGCAGCTGAGCCTCCAAAGGCAGCAGCACTGGGAGTGTGGCTGGATATGCTGAAGAGCAGTGCCAGCGCATTGGGCATCACCGGGAGAGGAATGAGAACAACCCTGGGTGCAACCAGCACCACGTCATGGTGAACTGCAGATGCTCACAAGGGAGTGAGGAGCCCAAGACCCATCCCTGCATCTGCTGCTGTGGGGTGGGACCTGTTCCCTTGATACAGCTGCAGAAACAAGCAAGAAATAGTTGCCCTCAAGCTGCAGTCCAAATAAGCACAGTTGGATGATCATTCAGTTCATTGACGTTCATAACTAAATATAAAACCATATCTTTTTATGAGAAAATTGTTCCTATTTTTTTTTTCTCTGAAGAAAAAAACAACAGAAGTAGTCCCAAGTTTTTCAGCTGCACAGATATAATTATGCCACTTAAATTCTCTGATGCAGGGGTGCAGGGAAAGTATGACTGCAGAGATTTAAAGGGTGCTGTTGCTATGGTGCTTTCTGAACTGTGATGTTTCTTGGCTCCTGAAATGTTAAACACTTTAAAAAGCAGCTTATCAACTCAAGCTTTCTTAAAGGCCCATGAGAGCCCATGAGCCAAGCTTCTGACTTAAACCCCAGATCAAGCTGGAAGGAGCCAGTCACGTTTTAAGATGAACTGTTGGGAAGAAATTATGAGCTTCAGAAAACTGTAGCCAGTTTCTTCCCACTTCCACCCCACCAACAGAGATGTGCAGAGACTGAAGAGGTCAGTGAATGGCCACCAATATGGCCACGGCTTTCAGCCCGTGACCCATGAATAGAGGCTGAGACAGCTGAGCTTGTTCAACTGGGTGAAGAGGAGATGGGGAGGTGAGTTAATGGTAGCCCGTAAGGACCCGAAGGAAAGCTGTGAGAACACAAAGTCAAACTCTTGGCGGTGCCAGATGACACAAGAGGGAAAATCCTGCAAACTATTTCTTGGGAGGTTAGGACCAACCATTAGGAAAAGCTTTTATCTCCAGGAAAGCAGTGCTATGCTGGAAGGGGTGCCCAAAGAAGTCATAAACCCAAACTCCTGTGCACAAAGCCAGGATGCTCTAGTGCTGCAGATGTCCTGCTCTGAGCTGGACTTTGGGCTAAAGATCCCCAAAACGACCCATCCCACCACCATCCTGCAATACTGTGGTATTTCAAGGCAGAGAAGGATCCGGCACTGCTCCAGCTGCTGCTTCTGCTCCCGGAGGTGGGGTGATCCCCCTACCTTTGGGGACATAGCCATGGTTCTCCACTTGATCCAGCTGCAGGATGGCGGGGCTGAGGCAGCCCTGTAAGCGACGCAGCTGGCAGGACACATGCGCCTTCCAGGGTGGCCACAGGCTGGCGAAGAAGAGATGGTACTCGCTGTCTGACAGTGGGCTGCCTGGACCAGGAGGTACTGGTGGAGCGACAGAGGGCATCAGCCAGGTCAGCAGCCCTGGGGGAGAAGGTAAGACGTGCTTAACCCTCCTTAGCAGGGGACAAGCAGTGGGTGGAAATGAAATAGCAACTGGTGGGGAGTCCTGCTCCCATCTGCTGGTGCTGAGCGGGGCATGCGGATGAGCTGGTCTGAGATATCCCTCCAGCACCCCTGCTTGCAGAGTCCCAGGGAAATCAGGAGCTCTATAGCAAAAAAGGGAAAAGGAATGAAATAGCAGAGGGGTGGGGGAAAAGGGAAACAAAGAAGTATGGAGAAAAAAAAAGAGAAAAGGAAAAGAAGAAAATAAAAAGAAAAAGGAGAGGAGAAGGAATAAAGTAAAAGAACAACAAAAAAAAAGAAAAAAGAAAAAAGAAAAAAAGAAAAAAGAAAACAGAAAAAAGGAAACAAGAAAAAATAACAAGAAAAAAGGAAAATAAGAAAAAAATTTTAACAGTTGGGTTTTTTTGAGGATTGAGTGGCAGTTGTTTTGGCTTAGTTTGATTTGGGAGAGGTTTTTTGCTTGGGTTTTTAGAGTTTTTTTTCCCCACAAAACTCCACCCTGTAGGCCCCTCTCCCCACCCCTGCAAGCTGACCTTGCTCTCCACTCTGGGGGTCCCCACCCTCCACAGGGACATCCCTCCATTCCCTTCTTTCACTCCAGCTGCCCCTCCACCCCTCCTGCCTCCCCCCCCAGCTCAGCAACCTCCAAGGTGGCCCTGGGAGGGCAGGCATCACTCACCCACCAGGCAGAGCAGCCTGGCCATGTCTGCCCAGGCAGTGATGGAATGAGAAGGGGTGTGACATCACAGTTGAGCTGTGGTGACACCAGGGAGGGGGCACAGGCCCCTCCAGCCACCAGCTGACAGCTGCCAAGGGGAGAGCAGTCCAGATGAGCTTGTTGCGTGTGGGGGTGTGAGGGGAGGCGAGCACCCCAAGGCGAAGGGAGAATCTGGGTCCCATGGGGACAAGGCCATCAGGAGCAGCATGAGCTGAACGAGGGGACATGGTGGTGGCAACAGCCTGCAACAACATTTTAAGCCTAGTCAGGATACCTCCGGCTTGAGGTTATCCCAAAAGTGATACACCCCAAACATTTTGTGCTCTTCTGCAGAAGAAAGGGGACAAAAATCTGTTCTGCTTGCAGGGCACTGAGGCGCACCCTGTGCCTCCCCTGGGAAGTGTCCCAGCATCTGCTTGTTTCGGGATGCAGTGGGAAGCTGGCTTGATCTCTCCTGGGGAAGCCATGTCGTTTTTTCAAATCCCAGAAAGTCACAGGAACATCGTCTGGTCTTCCTCTACCTCCGGCATGGGTGCCCCAGTGCCTCTCTCTCTGCATGGTAAATCTTTCCCAGGCAAAATTGTGAACGGTGCCTGCAAAAGAGGCCTTGGGACCATCTGCATGGAGGTGCCCAGAGCCTCACGAGGCTGATTTCGAGGGACACCCACACCCACATGCCTGTGCCCAGTTCTTACAACAGAGACTGAACTGTGGGACATGGGCGCAGCCACCCACAAGTGCACCCCATGGGATCGCAACCGATGGCCGGGCACTTTCTGATGTGAGGGGGAAAGATGTGACTGCAACCATCACGGACAAGCAGCTGTCAGGGTGGTTGAAAGGAAAACATTTGGCACAGAAGCTCTCAGAACTGCAGCCAGAAGCAAAATGCCGGGTGGCAGAGCAGCTTTGGGTATCCGCTGCATCACAGCCTCAGCTCAGTTGTGAAAAATCACCCTTGCAGAACCAAAGATCTGCAGGCAAAGAGGATGACGTCTTCAACAGTGTCTCAGGATGCTGCTGAAGAAACCACTTCTGCCACAAAACCTGGGAGTTTCGAGCAGCTCTGCTGTACACGGTGGCTGCCGAGAGTGCTGCGGATGTGTGGGCTGCGACTGCGAGGCTGCCAGGTCGCCTACCAGTGACATCCCTGAGCAGCCACCTGGGCTATCAAGGTGAAAGCTCAGCTCACTCTAGCCGTGCAGTCTGTTAAAAACAACAGCAGGTAGCTCAGTGGGTCCTTGCAGGAGACAAGCTGTAATTCACTCTGAGATGTCTTGCTGGAAGGTAATGTTTGCGAGAATCTTGAAGCCTGGCCATTTAACAAGAGCACTGAATTTAGGGTGATTTTGTAGCTTCTCAGAAAGAGAGTGGGGAAGACATCTTTTCCAGCTAGCTCTTGCCACACACATTAAAACAGGCAGTGTGGCTGGGGCTTCCAAATTTTAGCCATTTTCTAGTCTTCCATCGCTTAGCTTGAGACACATTGCTTATTAGCTGACTTTAGACAACTCCATGGCCTTCATCTCCTGAACTCTGTTAATTCCCTCTGCTCCCCTGTGAGAACAGAGCCCAGGCTGAGTTCTGTCACCCTGGCTTGAGCAGCTCAGTGCTGACCTCAGTGGCTGATGGAAATGCATGACCTAGGGACGCGCGCTGCTGTGGCATGTCAGGCAGCGTTATTAATGTCTGGCAGGTGCTGGCTACACGGCCTGCATCTACATGTGCCAGCAAGAGATTTATGGTGCATGAAAACAGGAAACAAGAATGAACAGACTAGAGTCCTCAGACATATGCTGAGAGCTCAAACACAAGGCAGAAGATGAAGGAGCTGTCGAAGAAGTCATCCTTGGCTGATGTCCTAGTAGCAATGCCTGTGGGGAGCTCCTGCATATTTGGAAAGAAGATGGTTGGTAATGTGAGGATAGGTTTGGCTACTTAGCACTTCTCATGCACTGCGACATACCCTGGGTTTGATTCAGGTTGTCAAATTCCTTCAGGGAGCTCATACGGGTCACAAGTCCATTGAGAAACCAGGTAGCCTGCAGCATGCACCCTGCAGGGTTGGGACACCGTGATTGCAGGAGACAGTGCTGTGCTGTGCTGTGCTGTTCAGCTAGGTTTGTGCCAGCTGGCTATGGAGCACTTGTGTTTTAGGTTTCCACAAAGAAGATCTCATCTTAGGAGGAGGGATGAGGGCAGGAGGAGCAGTAGTTTGGACAGGAGGCATCAGCACAGTGGGGTGTGGGGGGGAAGTGTACTCCTCACTGCCACATCAAGTAATTATGGCAGTCAGCAATGTGCAACACAAGAGTGATGTCAGTTCCAGTATTTTCTGGTTTCTGAGGCTTAACTTCACACCTTTCAGGCTGTACCCCTGATGACGCATTAAAATTTGCATAATTTTTGCACCAGAGCAGATTTGCAACCTTGTTTTCAGAGCCACCACAAAAATGGCGTTTCCTGCCAGCAATGTTCCTGGGCTTGCCTGAGCTCAGCGGGCTGATGTCCGCAGCTGTAACGCCAAGGCCTACAGCACAACCGATGGCAGCACTAGGGATGTGTAACTTGCTGCTGTTACAAGGAAAGGAGCTGCATTTTCCATGTGACTCTCCAACTGCTGTGTCGATTCTGAACTTCTTCCTCCTCTGTTACAAGGTTTGTATTGTCCATTTCTTCATCAGGCTGATAGGATATATCACAAGATCAAGGTGAGCACCCAACCTGATCCAGGTGACAGTTGCATAGCATGGTTCCTCAACAAGCACACTAGCCTAACTTGCCAAGATGTGTCCAAGTACCCGAGAGGACCAACAGCATCCTGGCCCCTATCAGCGTGTCCAGCAGGAGGGGAAGGGAACGTTCCCCTGTCCTTGGGACTGGTGAGGCTGCACCTTGAATCCTGTGTTCAATTTTGGGCCTCTCACTACGAGAATGACATTGAGGTGCTAGAGTATGTCCAAAGAATGGCAATGAAGCTGGTGAAGGGTCTAGAGAACCCAAGGCTCAGAGAAATAGAGTTGTTTAGCCTGCAGAAAAGGAGGCTGAAGGGAGACCTTATCACTCTCTACAACTACCTGAAAAGAGATTGCAGTGAGGTAGCGCTTGGTCTCTTCTCTCAAGTAACAAATGACAGGGCAAGAGGAAATGGCCTCAAGTTGGATATTAGGAAAAATGTCTTCAGCAAAAGAGTTGTCAAGCACTGGAACAGGCTGCCCAGGGAAGCGGTTGAGTCACCATCCCTGAAGGTATTTGAAAGACGTGTAAATGAGGTGCTTAGGGACATGGTTTAGTGGTGAACTCTGCAGTGTTAACAGTTGGACTTGATGGTTTAAAATCTAAACCATTCTATGATTCTAAGAACTGTTAACACTCTGCAGTGTTAACAGTTGGACTTGATGGTTTAAAATCTAAACCATTCTATGATTCTAAGAAAGAAGTGCACCCAGGCACACGGAGCACTTAACCAAAGAAGGAACGATGGCTAATGTTTGTTAGACTGTCAGCTCTGTAACTTAAATTGGGGGGGCAGGGGGAAAGAGGGTCTCATCAGCTCAGGAAACTCACCAAGATGGAGACTAGAAAGATTAGGTATGAAATCAAGACTCAGGGCCTTGTCAAGCAGCATCCCTAGAAAGCGTGTCTTAAATAATATGTTTGCAGAGGTGATAGAAAAATACTTCCAAAAACACCTGTTATGTGGGGAAAAAAAGTTATTTCAGAAAGGAAATTCTGGTAAAAATACCTGAATTTCTTTTCTCATGCTAGCTGAAGTGAAAAAATCAGCAGTGGTACAGTCATTACGGTGACATTAGCTGCACTATGCTTATATATTGATATGTTGTTAGAAAGTAAACAGTAGGGTCTTTGTTTATGAAGGAGGCTGGGAGCAATTATACTTGTGTAGCTGCTAGGGCAGACTAAGGAAGGGGCCGACAGAGCCCCTGCGACACACCAGGTTGTATATTCCTTACAAAGCATCAAAGGAAAGGGAAAACTGTGGTACCTCTATTTATTAAAACATACCCTTAAGAGAACAGGTAGAGAAGGGGGTCCAAAACCCACCACAGTTCCCCAGCAGCACGCTACCCCCTCCCCTCCACAGATGACTACATTCATCAGCAACGGCTCTGACTCTCCTTGGGGTCCTCTCTCTCCTTGCCCACCAGGCTCCTTTTCTTGCTCACTCCCTGTTCCCATGGCATTTGGTTTTGCTTCAGTCTCAGCAATCATTTGGCGG